CTTCTATCTTCTTCATGGCTGACTCAGTGGTCAGGGGAAATTTGATGATGGCAAGCTTGTTTCTCCTGGGGGGCGCTCCTCAGGGGGTATTTGGGCTGCCTTCAGAGTCTCAGCGTCTTAGGCCGCCGGAACGTGGGTGACGTGCGGATCTTCTTTTTTTTTTGTGACTGTGGATGCCCTTCAGGACTGCCTTCTTGGCCTTCAATGCCTTTGCTTTGGCTTCAGTTTTGGGACGGGCAGGGGCTTCCTTCTTCACTTTTGGTGCCATCTTCGTAGAAATCGCTCTTTAGTATTTTAAAGAGAAGTCCTTGGCAGCAGATTTGAGCAATGCAGTAGGTTGCTTGATTTCCTGACTGCTGCTTCCATGGGTGGGTGTAGATTGTGGATTCAAGTAAAATGAATCTGGAAACTTCAATCATCTCTCCATTTATCATAAGTTTATGGGTCTGGTGGAATTAGGACTTTTGAGAATGGCTTTATGGCTTTTGCATATATTGCCTTAGAGCCTTCCTCCATCCCAAGAACGGTCTCCAGATGCCTCAACTGTGAACATGTATGGTTCGTTTCTGATCAGCATCTTCAGCATCATCAACAGCTGTAAGACCAATATAAGATAAAGAGCTAACTGTAGAGAGACTGTGCAAAGACAAAGCCTGACAAAGCCAGGACCAGAGCCCTTGAGACAGGAACCTCAACATTAGGAAAGAAGTAGAGAAAAGAATGTGTGTCTTTCAGGGCCAGAAGTTGTTGTGCCAATGGTATCTTCCTGTTAACTGAGAAGCTGTCTGGACCAACTGAGGGACTGTGACTTGCTGTTAACCTGGTTTGGGACTGTTACTTACTGAATGTGGACTTTCACTGTATGGTATCTTTCGCCTCCCTTTCCTTCCTCCAACTTGTTTTCCTAATAAATCCCACAACTGCGAGTAAAAAGAGTTCTTGTAAAGTCTTTGTGGTCATTTGCAACTAATTTTGGGGTTAGTGAGTAGCAGAAGTAAGTGCAAGGAGCATAGAAGGCCATGTCTGATTTTATAGGGATCAGTTTTATACTGTTAATGTTGTTTATGGGGACAATTCCCCTTTGTAGAATTAGTAGGGGTCGGACTTGGCTACTCTCATGTTGTCTTTGC